AACCACACTAATTAATCACTAACTCCTCACATGTGCTTCACTGAACACCAACCAATCAATAAACACACATCTACACAACTGTTCTTCTCTTTAGTACTGTATAATACTGTGTTCAAAACCACAGATGCTTACAGGAAAAAACACATGCTGGAGAGCCCCGCGCAGCACAGCATCGCCCCCTTCATGCTGTACCCCGCCGCAGGACTCTACATGTGAAGCACCTTTAGTGTGTGTGCATACCAGCTCTGTTACACTGTAACAAAAATTACATAGTTTACGGTAAAAAACTGGCAGCTGTGGTTGCCAGAATTATACTGTAAAAAATATGGTAGCAACATTTTAGGTTTTACGGATTTAACTTAAATGTGACCCTGGAGCACAAAAGCAGTCTTAAGTCGCTGGGGTATATTTGTAGCAATAGCCAACAATACATTGTATGGGTCAAAATTATACATTTCTTTTATGCCAAAAATCATTAGGATATTAAGTAAAGATCATGTTCCATGAAGATATTTTGTAAATTTCCTACCGTAAATATATCAAAACTTAATGTTTGATTAGTAATATGCATTGCTAAGGACTTCATTTGGACAACTTTAAAGATGATTTTCTCAATATTTAGATTTTTTTTTTTCAGATTCCAGATTTTCAAATAGTTGTATTTCAGCCAAATATTGTCCGATCCTAACAAACCATACATCAATGGAAAGCTTATTTATTCAGCTTTCAGATGATGCATAAATCTCAATTTCAAATAATTGACCGTTATGACTGGTTTTGTGGCCCGGGGTCACAAATTTACATTTACAGTTGTTTTTCATCTGCTTACACATAAAATCTTTCCTTGTCACACAGTTTCTGAAAGCTGACACTCAAACAGCAGAAGCACACACCACATCTGCAAAACATACACTAATTCTCAGCCTTTGATTCAGTTTTCAATTTCATAAAACACTTTTTGCAAAACACAACACACTATTCTATGTAACACACATAAATCTAACAGGAAGTGTCTTGACTTCCTTTTTCAAACACAAGCGATCAGAAAGCCACACTAATTCATGACTAACTCCTCACATGTGCTTCACTGAACACCAACCAATCAATAAACACACATCTACACAACTGTTCTTCTCTTTAGTACTGTATAATACTGTGTTCAAAACCACAGATGCTTACAGGAAAAATTTGCTTTCAATCTTGCTTTCGTGTTTACTGTGAATTTTTCAACATCTCTCTGACATATATATATATAGAAGGTGCACAGTGTCATTCACACAAACACTAAACACCATCACGGTGACACATATGAATCTGAAATATTAAATTTGAATAATTTAACAACATTAGATGTAACATACAACCCTAATAAACATAACTGATAAGAAAAAACTAAGAAGAAACATAATTATTTAAAAGAAAAAACATCAAATTTGAAATGCAATGCATGGGAACGTCAATTTTACGGGTTTTTTCTGACTTCCAAAAACGGTATTTTACCGTAAAATTACATGAAATGTCTATTGCATCTTTTCACCGTATATAGTAGGGGAGCTTACCGTTAACCATTTAACAGGTTTTTACTGTAGAATTTTCATAATTTTTTTTACCATTAAAATCACAATCATTTTTTACAGTGAGAGACAAGACAAGAGATGAAAGCTGCAAACCATTTCATGTTAGTTTACAGTTTTATGGTAGAAATGTTAAATAACCAACAGCTATATGCAGTGATGCAAACTACTCAAATATGGGATTTTGAGAGAGAGAGAGAGAGATGATGATGATGATGATGAAATGTGCGTGTGTGAATTACCTGCATCTGTTACCTGCGCTATAATATAATCAGTATGGAAACTATTTTATTATAATAAAAGTCGTAGGGTAGTGTTCACAACAATCGCCATGCGATAGGACCTCTGTGTGCGAGTGATGTGTGTGCGTGTGTCAATAAAATCTGTGCGCATATATATATATATATATATATATGAAAATTGGTCTCCCCCAAAGTTCAAGACATGGTTATGGCCTTGGTGCATACTTGCACACTGCATGCATACTATGCACAGTATACTCACATGACAGGGGTTCATATCTTCATTCTGCATCTCCAGTAAATGTGTCTAGATTTAAGGATGTTGAGATACTGGAAAACAAACAAAAATACTGAGGAAGAGATTCATTTTATTTGCAGTGCATGCAACATTTAGTGCTACGACTTTATAAATTTAAGACTTTCTTCTCTGATTTAAGAATTTTTGATGCTTTTATTTGTGGAAGGGTGAATTAAGACTTTAACTAAGACCAGCAGAATCCCTGTATGGGACTGCATTAAACACGCAACATTATCGTCATTATTTTGGCAGTTGAGGAATAAAACATGCAGCATAGATGACAACAATGTAACAATCTTCTGTTCTGAATATATATCTTTGCATAATGCGTGCTATTTCACATACTACTTTTCTAAAGTAGGCAATATTCTGTTCACTGTATTCTGTTCAACTGTTTTCCATGATTAAAAATCCAAATAAATCTTCTTTATTGCTCAACATACTGAATACCACTCATTCAGCTTAATTCTGAACAGTGTATCATATTACAAATTTTTATACACAATTATTTGATGTGAGCAGCGATATAACAGTTTTGTAAAACATTTTAAGACACTTTCAAGGCCATTTATGGCCTCAAAAGAAGAGCCATTATAAATAGATTCAGTATTAGAATACAGAAATATACTGTACAAGTCACAAAAGACACAGGATTGTTACAGAAAATAAATGTAAAAATTTTAAAATATATATATTTTTTTCATTTTAATAAATGAGAACATGAAAATTAAATATTAAATAAAATATGAATATTTATATTAATAATTAATATCAAATATTCCACAGAATATCACATTCCATTAAGGTATATGATGACATAATTCTGTGTTTAGAATTAATTATTTCTTTAAAGCATATTTTCCCAAACTGGGTTTCATGTGCTGATGAAAAGCTAATAATTAATAAAATCATCAATAATGCATAATTTTAAGATAAAAACACTCAAAATAATACACTCAATAAAAAAGATTAAATATTTTTTGCTTATCAGTGTGACTATTTAACTGATATCAGAGAACAGTGAACATGTGAATGTGTATATAAATTATTGAAATATTAACTTATTTTCTTGAAGATTTTATTTAGGCTGACAAAGGATACAAAGGGCTTTAATCTCCGCAGTCAGAACAGCACTCAGTCAAACACATCCATGGCTTGGGATTCACCATTAGGGAGAGTAATGCATCGAACACAATGACAGATGATGATACTGAACACAACATGTCATGTCTGTATGTCATGTGTTCTCATAAAACAGCAGAGGAACAAAACAAACTCACTCAGGATGATGTTTCTGTAGCCGTCCAAGTCAAAACCACACAGGACACTGCGTTCAGCATTAGAACCTCAACCTGAAACTGACAGCTGATCATCACAAGAGACAGAGGCCACACCCACTCCATACAGAGGACAGAAGCCACACCCACTTAGTTCAGAGTAGAGAAGCCACACCCACTCCATACATAGAAGAGAAGCCACACCCACTCTATTTAGACGACAGAAGCCACAACCACTCTATCCAGAGGACCCACTCTATCCAGAGGACAAAACCCAAACCCATTCCATACATAGAAGAGAAGCCACACCCACTCTATTTAGAGGACAGAAGCCACACCCACACAATTTGGAGGACAAAAGCCACACCCACTCCATGCAGATGAAAGAAGCCACACCCACTAATTTCAGAGTACAGAAGCCACACCCACTCTATCCAGAGTACAAAAACCACACCCACTCCATACATAGAAGAGAAGCCACACGCACTCTATTTAGAAGACAGAAGCCACACCCACCCCATACAGCGGACAGAAGCCACGCCCACCATATACAAACCACACCCACTCTTTTTAGAGGACAGAAGCCACACCCACTCTTTTAAGGGTACAAAAGCCACACTTCTCCCAGAGCAAAGTCACATCAAAGGACACATCTTCCCAAGACAAATAATTTGAATTCACTCTGTTAAATAAATAAGCCACCTTTATTTCTAAGTTACTCACTCTTAAATAGTTTTTAATGTTAAAACAACTTCATTTTTTTGTACAAAATATATCTCTGGCAAATAATGATGTAGTATATGATAGTTTGAACACAAACACGTGTGAAAAAGACTACATGATTCTCATCGCAGATTCCCATAAACAGCAGGTAAAAGCAGGACAGCAAAATGAACCCAACAAACTACAAACCAACGACACTGACAGATCAGACAGCAAACGGTTTTTCATTTACAGCCATGCACATCAATATTAATCAATCAGAATTTGGCAATATTCAGATTAGTATGGAGCCACATATTAAACACCACAATCTGACCAATCAAAACCAGTCATAAGGGTAAATTTTTTGAAACATTATCTGAAAGCTGAATAAATAATCTTTCCATTGATGTATGGTTTGTTAGGATAGGACAATATTTGGCCGAGATACAACTATTTGAAAATCTGGAATCTGAGGGTGCAAAAAAATCTAAATATTGAGAAAATCATCTTTAAAGTTGTTCAAATGAAGTTCTTAGCAATGCATATTACTAATCAAAAATTAAGTTTTGATATATTTACGGTAGGAAATTTACAAAATATCTTCATGGAACATGATCTTTACTTAATATCCTAATGATTTTTGGCATAAAAGAGAAATGTATAATTTTGACCCATACAATGTATTGTTGGCTATTGCTTCAAATATACCCCAGTGACTTAAGACTACTTTTGTGCTCCAGGGTCACATATTTTAATTCTCCAAATTCAGATTCCCACTCCTGGAATAAGGCGGTTTTAACGAGAAATGTAAACACCTTATTCAGAAAATCCACTGAAAGGAGATTCACATGCTCAGACCGCAGAGAATTATGGGTGATAACAGAGGGTGATAATAATTAGCTGTAGGTGTTAAGGAATGGAAACTCATTTAAAAAAAAAATTGATATTAACACTTATTATTATTGACATTTGCCCAGTTCTTTCCAGTTGCAGTCAGAGTTTTTGGGCATTTCTGAAGGGTTTCTAATCAAATGACTAATTAGGAAACTGATTAGATTAAATTCTAATTAAATGACTGAGCACATACTGCATAACCAATGGCAGCATCTGGACTCTCTAGGGAAATCTTTTGAGAAACAGCAAGAAAAAAAAAAACTTGTGTAGATCAGTAGACCTAAAACAACAATATGTGTGCATATAAACATCATATTCAGAATATGAGTGCAATCAGAATATGGAGCTGAACCAGTTGTAAACGTGACTAGTGAATCAGAATCATGGCCGCGATAATTTATTAAAGCAGGAAACTTGAGTGATTCAAATCATTCACTCAATCATGTGGCCACGATGCTGAAAAGGCTTTATAGACTGGAACTGAAGAACAGAGAAGAAGAGATCAGACTACTGCACAATAAAGTAGATCACAGTCCATACAGCTTCACTGAAGCATCTGCTGTTGACTATCTAGTGTTCTTCAGCAAAGATCAGCGCTGCAGTGTCGCTCCCACAGCTGCAGCTCAGTCCCCTCGGCACAAACCAGCAGATACGACTCACTCCTCACCTGCGGCATCCACACCTGTCAATTAAACACCGCACAGGAGGCGCATGTTTACCAGACGACTCGCTGATGGACACAGTTACTGCTGATTAAATACAGGAGAACTCTGTCACATCTCTGAATCTGTGAGTCAGCTTGTTTCTGTTGTAGGCTGCTTGATTTCCAATGGTAATCAATAGTTCTCTATCTATCTATCTATCTATCTATCTATCTATCTGTCTGTCTGTCTGTCTGTCTGTCTATCTATCTATCTATCTATCTAATATGTGTGTACTGTGTATATTTATTATGTATATATAAATACAAACACATCCATGTATATATTTAAGAAAAATATGTTACATTTATATATTAATTATATTTATATATGATATAAATTATATCAATATAAATATATACATGTAAATATTTTCAAAATATATGCTGTATGTGTGTGTATTTATGCATACATA